GGGAAAAAGGGCAAGGAATGGGAATAATTGGTTTACTCTTCAAAAGAGCTTGCACAGAATAGACTGTGATATTTAGGGATGCTATCAGCAATCATTTTTTAACATTAATATTGTTACTTTTATCTTACTGTCTTTGATTCAGGCGTCATTGGTTTATAAGGGTAGAGAAACAACCACGAGTGAGTCTTTGTAAGAAGCTCTTGCAGTAACAAGATGTCATTAGATGCAGTTGTACATATTTTAGTTTGGCCGCATTTGGAATATTGCATAAAGCTCTGGTTGCCACACTACCAGAAGGATGTAGAGGCTTTGGAGAGGCTGCAGAAATGGTTTACCAGGATATTGCCTTGTTTGCAAGACCTTAGCTATGTGGATACGTTGGACAAACATGGTTTGTTTTTACCTGAACATCGAAGGATGAGAGGTGAATAAATAGAAGTTCACAAAATTATGACAGACATGGATAAATGGATAGTCAGAGTCTTTTTCTCAAGGTAGAAATGTCAATAAATAGGGGATATAAGTTTAAGGTAAAAAGGGTGATCTTAAAGGCGGTGAGAGGCAAGTTTTTTAATACAGAGGGTAGTAAGTGCCTAGAATACACTGCCAGAGGAGGTGGTGGAGGCAGATACAATATCAACATTGAAGAGGAAGCTTGACAGATGTATGAATAGGCGGAGAATAAGGGGATACAAAGTGTTAAGGCAAAAGGTTTTTCATTTAGAAAGGCATCACATGTCGGCACAGCCTTGGTGGCCCAAGGGCCTTTTCTTATGCTGTACTGTTCATTGTTCTTTATTGTAGTTAAGCAATTAGATGCAAATTACATTCATTTGTTGGGCCTGCTGTGGTGCAGTGGTAGCGTCCCTACCTCTGAATCAAAAGCCCTGGGTTTAATTTTCACATTCCCCGGACATATCTGACTAGGTTGTTTACAAATATCTACATTAGTTCATTAAACATTATCACTAAGGCAATGAGACCTGTGGATGTTCATAGCATGAGAACGTAAAATGTTCTGCCTTTTCTCCACCCACTTTAATACAGTGTTATCAGGTTACACAGACCTTCAAACAGTCTCCAACATTAGAACTGTTACCACATACACAATCAATGTATCAAATTTTCTCCTTCTGTTCTCTAGTATTTTATTATTTCATGATCCCATATTTCTGTTCTCCTAGTCAGAAACCGTACTCTAGTCCCAGCTCTGGCTGCTCTCAGTCCTGGAACTGTAATTAGAACCTGTCCTGTATCAGGGAATGCATTCCACCTGATCCCCCAGTCCTTCCAAAGTCCACTTACTTTCTCACTGATCGTCACACGGCTGGGAAACCTTTGCAGCTCGGCATTTATGTTCCTCATTTTTCAACTGAAACAAATTTTCGTGCCAAGATTTTCCAGATTCATTATAAACTTTGCCCTGGAGAGCTGCTTCCAGTGCGTGTGCTCTATATGCATACGTTTATGCTAGACATCAATTTTGTTGCAGCTTTGTCTGTTGCTAGACAATTCAATGCTGCCCATTTCTCACTAGCATCGGGTGCCCAGATCTCAATTAATTCCTGTTTCAGTGGGTGTAGTTTTGCCAGCTGGCACCACATATGGGCAGAATTAATGCTGAGACCTATTATATCAACCAAATAATTCATACACATGCAAACTGTTATATTTCACACGAAGCAATTTATGTCACTCATGAGTTAAATTTAAGATCAAATATCTGTTTCTAGATTTTGGGATCAGTCAAAGGAAAAGAGGATCAGGCCAATTAAAATTCACAAAGTGAATGAGTTAAAGTTAATTGTTAATGGCACGATGAATATAAACTGTGAAGAATGATTCCATGGTTCAGGTCTGTAAATTATAATGTAATAAGTAGAGAAGTGAAAGTGTTTTCATTGCAGTGAACACTGAGAGGAGACATTGAAATGAAGCCTAATTCAAAGGAGGCCATTTAGCCAATTTTGTCTGTCTCAGCCCTTTGCTGGAGCAATGGAACATATCCGTTTTAATTCCCCATTGTCCTCATGGCCCTGCATCCAATTTTCCTTACAAGGAAAAACCAAACCATCAACACAAAAGAAAATGGCATTGAGCTGGATCAACCATGATCCAATTGTGTAGGTTCAACAGACTGCTCAGCCTACTTATCCTTCTATTTCCTTTATACCTACATCTTTTCTTGAAACATTAGCTGTGGCAACAATACTTTAACAATGTGCTGACTGAAAAGATTTTTCTGGATGCCTGTCCTCATTATTTTCGTGAAGGAGCCAAACTGGCATGATCCAACTTTGTATGTGCCTACTGGTACTTTCAATCAGGTGGGTCACATATCTAGGGATTTTTAGTGCAGACTAAGTTTAAAGCAAATATAAAATTAACAAATTGAGAAAATAAAATTGGGAACATCTTTTCTATCAGCAGTTTAATGCTACATAGATGCACAACTTTGTGAAAGGAGTTATACAAATCACTTGTTAGAAACAGTGATGAGGATAAATAAAAAGATAAGTTAACATGGTTGCATGCAGTGTCACATCACACCTTGTTGAATTACAGGATCCAAACACTGTTCTCCAATTTGTTCAATCCAATGTGCTTTCTTTGGACATTATCAGCAAAATGTCTTTGACTAATATATTGAGAAAATTCTGCGGTATTTCATAACAGCCCAACTTTGGACTTATCTGTGGCCCTCCTGCTCCAAATTTGCAAGCTCTGGCAGCAACTGTACTATAACAGGGAGATAGAGATTGTGATTCTTGACAAATCAATAACATTCTAATTAATTTTTGCAAATGCACACCCGTAACTATTTTCAAACAAAGAAGTACCAACTTTGAAGGAGTGTGTGGTGGGCTATTATTTGGGCTGGCAGCAGACCAAAGTTGAACACTTGGTAGTAGGGAGAATATGTGGTGCTCTTTGAGCCTGAGACGGTAATAAATATGAACATAAAAATTATGAGAAGCAGGAGTAGTCTGCTTGAGCCTGCTCCATCATTCAGCAAGATCATTGCTGGTCTAATTATTCCACAGTGATAGTAGGAACTGCAGATGCTGGAGAATCCGAGACAACAAGGTGCA